ATGTGCAGCTAAGGTGAGGTCCAGAGCTGCTTCACACGGGCCTCAGACGATAGACAGCTGTCCAGAGTGGCCACGCTCAAACTGCCCAGCATCGCTCAGGATGCATGGGACAAAGATGGAGTGGGAAGATGCATGGGACAAAGATGGAGCGGGAAGCCAGGCATGGTGGCGCACGCCTGTGATTCCAGCACTCGGGAGGCTGAGGCAGGAGAATCACTGTGAGTTCGAGACCAGCTTGGGCTACAAAGTGAGCTCAAGGCCAGCCTGAACCTGCATAGTGAGACCGTGTCTCAAAAAGATTAAAAAAACAATATGGGAGCTGGTGGGAAAGAGTGAAGGGTCAACTACCATCCTCTTGCAGCCCAGAGACAACAGTATCTCTGGGAGGGAGGGAAAGTTATGAAACCAGAGTCTCAGAGAGTGCACCTCAGTACACCACAGCTCCCCAAGGAGAAAACACACTTACACTACATTCGAAGTTCTGGCAAACGATGAATAATTGTTTAATATATCCCAAACATTGCATAGAACATACTTATACTAAATATTTATGTCTCTCTGAAATTCAAATTGGGTAATGCTTTGTTTTTAATTGCTAAATCCATCGAGGACCTGATGGATTGGCTCATTTCCATCCAGTTCTGCAGCTTACAGGCCAATGAGGACTTTTCTCCTCTTCCTCTTCCTTATCTAGTTGGGCCAAGAGCAGGCCAGCACTGGGCTCCTTCTCACCCTGCTGACCATCTCTCTGTGACAACCCCTATTGGATCCCTAAACAGGACCCAGGAGGAAACTTGTTCATTTCTTAACCCAGTAAATATTTTTGAGCACCTGCCACCTGGGTAGAGGGACAAGTCCCATGTGTTCCTTCGGTTGAGAGGTATATCTCCAAAGTGACAGTGACCCACATGGAGACTATTTGGGGTGAGGATGAGAACAGTGAAGGGGTATGGGAACAGGGACAAGGTGATGAGATGGGGTCAGGCCTCCACATGGGTGACGTGACTTTGGGAGCATTGGCAACGTAAAGATGGAGTGTAGTCTTCCATCTGGTGGCTCTGACATGTCTGGCAGATTATGATTTGCCAGTCTCTGTAGTATAAATACTTCATTGTGGTCAATTCCCCACTACCAATGTAGGACCGTCATTTTCAGGAAGCTGACTTTTTTATTTTTTATTTATTTATTTATTTATTTTGGCCTTTTGAGAAAGGTTCTCACTATGTAGCCCAGACTGGTCTCAAACTTGCAGTAGGATCACAGGTGTATGCCACCATACCCAGCAGGAAGCTGACATTCTGAATGGTTTCAAAATATCAGACCAAATGGCTACATCAAAATCCACCCTCCTGGGGCTTCTCCAGCTCCCCACTCAAGTGGTCAGGTCCTTCCTCCCCAGCTGTTTCCCCCCACTCAGTTGTTTTGTTTTGTTCCTATAGCGGGACTGAATCTAGGACCTTTCCACAAGCTGGGCAAATGCCCTACCATGCCCATTCCTTTTTGAGCTATATCCCATCCCATTTTGTTTTTGAGACAGGGGCTAATTTACTAAGCTGCCTAGGTGGGACCCAGACCTCCCACCCCGGCCCCCAAGGTGCTAGGATGACAGGTATGCCCCACCACACCCAGCTAAGGGTTGTCTTGATCTAATAAAATGAAGTGTGATTATTCTCTAAAATACTGAATAAAGACAGGAATAAGAACCAGTTGTGCTTTTTTGGTTTGCTTTTGTTTTGGGTACAGTAATCAAACTCAGGACCTTGTGCTTGCCAGGCTCCAGGAGCTTATGCTGCTGAGCTATAACCCTGGCCCCAAGAACCGGCTATTTAGTCAATGTTTAGAAACAATTCCAGGGAGCCTGGGTCTTAGTAAACATCACCCTTCCCTCTCCTTCAGCTCTGGGCCTTGACAAATGTGACTGGAGTGAATAAATGAAGAGCTGAGAATCCCAAAGTTACCAGTCCCCACCTGTCCCCTAGAAAGTGAGCTCTAAGGATCAGCGGACCTGGTGAGCACCATCATTTGTCCTGGAGGCTCACTGACCTCAGTGGCAACAGGTAACTCTGCCCAAAGTCAGGGCACCTAGGAACTGCCACTAGCACAAGCCACAGAACAGCAGAAGCACCCCTCTGAGCCAGGCAGGGGAGGGACCCCAACGTGGCTGAGTGCTCCTTACCTCCTCCCTCTCCTAGAGCTGGGGCTGCTGTCTGGACCCGCTGGGGAGGGCATCCTGTGGCCCTTCCTGCCTTCTGCCAGCCCGGTGGGTGCCCAGGCAGAGAGTGAGTCACAGCAGCTGCCTCCCAGCCTCCTCCTGGCTTCCCTCCATGCCCCCGGCTCTCTCTGCCTAGCACCGAACAGCTACTAGAGTTAAGCAGATTTCATGCTATTTTCAAAGTCATTTTCCACGGAAAAAATTTTTTAAACCATTAAATCTACTTTCTGCTGTTTCTCATCTCCCTAAAAGCTTCCCCCTCCTCTTCCATGGGATAAAGTAGCAATGGGACACTTAGGAATTGGCCAGTGGCACCCTACAGGTAACCTGGGTGTCACTGGCCAGGGGTGGGGAAGGGAAAAAATCACATCAGAAGATTGGGGGGAGGCACAGCATCCAGGACTCATAACTGGGTGCGTTTCCTATCACATTGTGTCATGCTACACCTGCCTATAAACTGAAGCCTTGGAAAACACAAGAGCCCAGATGACTATCGTCTCCCTTTACAGCACAGGCTCCCACCAGACAGAGGTCAGTCTATTGTATCTCCCAGCTCCCTTTGCAGCCAAGGCTGACCAGCGCCTTGGCCGCAGATGACTGGACCAGACTCAGGCTGACAGTGACCAGAGGTATGACCGGCCTGATCTGATAGGATCTGTGCTCAGGAACAGGATAGGGATGAGCTGGACAAAATCAAATTCTCTTCCTGACGGAGGTGGAGGCACGTGTGTATAAACCAAGTGCTCTGGGGGCTGAAGCAGGAAGATAGAAAGTTTGAGGAAACCAGCCTGGGAAACTTAGCAACTTATCAAGATCTTGTCTCAAAAACAGATTTTTTTTTTAAGACAGTCAAATTTAGCAGTGGGGGGATGGTATTCCAACTTTAGTGACACTAATGTTATTATTAAGTTCTGATAACCCACCGCCATCAGACCAGCCTCAAAAACAGTTTTTAAAGGCCCTGAGGATGGAGCTCTTTGGGGTGTGCAGACCCTAGGTTCAGTACTGAGTACCACCAAAAAAAAAAAATATTTCTTTGGTCTTTTTTCCTTTTTATCGGTACCGGGGATCGAACTCACGACAGCCTGCTTGCAAGGTAGGCGCTTATGCCGCTGAGCTAAATTCCCAGCCCCCAATTTTTTTTTTTAAATCTCTTTCTGTGCTACCCCAGAGGTGTGCAATCTTGTTTGGTCTGCAATGTTCCTAGGGTCTGCTCGGATGGAGATGTGGGAGGAACATTCTAGAACACTCAGCTTCCTGGCCAGTTCAACTGATTACAGGATGTTGCAGCAACCAGAGTGACAAATAGAGTGGGCCAGTGGGGACTGGAGGATGAGCCACAGTGGCAGCTGCTGAGGCTAAGGCACTAGTGAGTCATCCAGAAGGTGCATTTGAGGGGGTACAAGCTGGGTGTTGAGGGCCCAAGAGCTGCCAGCAATGCTAGTGACCTGAGTGCTGGGCTCCAGGAAAATATTTAAGGACCAATCTCATAAACAGTAGTAGATAAAATGACCTCCACCAAAATACAGGCCCTTTCCTGCAGGGGCAATTATAAAGATAAGCAAAAAAAAATATATATATATATATATATATATATATATATACACACACACACACACACATTTCATCCGATTTATATTTCAAACATTTAGAGCTAATCGTTACCCAGTTGCAGACTGTTGGAAAAACAATATTAAAGCTAATCTCACATGTTGTTTTCCTCTTTTACTCAGACTATTTATTTCACTGAAATGTCTTTCTATACCTGCACCTAAGACAGAAAATACAACAAACATCAACCTGAAAATCAGCATGAAACATTCTTAGTAAATATGGTCACAGCTAAGATATCCCTGCCTTTCTAAGAAGATTATAAAGGCAACAGTTTTTCTGCACAAAAGTAATTTAATCCTACTTATACAAACCTTTCTCAAATCAATAAATATTGACATTTTTATTTTTTCTAACAGAAGCTAAAATTTTTGCAGGAGGCTTAGGCCCCACTTCTGGTCTCCAACAAAAGAACTTCCTGCCTTTGAATAGTAGTGTTAACCTTGAGAATAAGGCTGAGCAAATCTTGAAAAGCAGCAACTGGACTCCAGGGGTTCTCTAGCTGGACACCACACTGTTATTAATTGAACTAGCCAGAAAGTTGAGTGTTCTAGAATATTCTCTACAATATTTAGTGCTAGCAGAAACCCATGGAACTCTTTACTTTGCACAGTGCACCTATCACAGGCGCGAAACAAATGTAACCCCATCTTTGAGGGTGAAAAGTAAAACAAGGTTAGATGAATTACCCCAATACATTTGCTCCCTCTCCCTTGTATGAAGTAGGAATCAGTAGGATAGTCTCAAGAAGAGGGGGGACCACGCTTTGAGGGCCAAAGCAACAACCCAGCTGGGTTGTGCCCACCGGGAAGCTTTCTAGATTTCCTTTTGCTGCAATACACTGCCATCTGCTGGCTACAGGCTGCTATCACAGACTAGACAGGAACATCCCTTTGAGAGGAGGGCCAGGGATATAGCAAATAAAAGGTGATAACTTCAATTCTTGATATCCTAAAAAATCTTAAGAGGTTGGCTTGGTGATAGGGCTTCACTGGAGCCCTCAGAACTATCCAGCGTATGAGACAGACACACATCCAAAACGCCCTGTGCTTTATACCAGAGGGGAGGCGGGAAACAATGAGATGAAAGGCCAGTCTGGGTAAAGGGATCCAGGAATAGAAGAAATAAAGCACCTGCCTGGCAAGCACGAGGTCATGAGTTCAATTCCTGGTATCAGAAAAAAAAAAAAAAAAAAAAAAGTCAGTCAGGACTGAACAGGGGGGAGGTATATCATTAGTTGCAATTTTGTGCTAAGGGCCATGGGAAATTCAAGTGTCAGTAAGATCATTCTGGGCTTTTCCAGGATGCAATGGGATCCTTTGAGTGGCCTTCCAGCACCACAAGAGCTCAAGTTACAAGGTAGCTGCAAGGATAGGGGGAAAAATAGTCTTATGAGAAATATCTAGGAAGGGGATTAATTAGGCAGACTAGGCCCAGTCCCAGTCCCTCCTGCCACATGGCAAAGACCAAGTAGAAGGGGCTGGGGATTTAGCTCAGGGGCATAAGGACTTGCCTTGCAAGTATGTGGTTGTGAGTTTGATCCCCGGTCTCGACTAAAAAAAAAAAAAAAAAAAAAAAAAAAAGACCAAGTAGAAAGCTCCTCACTTGAGCACATCCTGTAGACCAGGTCTCTCCCAAGGCCAGGCCAACACTGAGCAGTTGGGAGAGACCTGCTCTACAGGGTGTGCTTAAGGGAGAAGGGAAGACTCTTTCCAGGCAGCCAAAACCCACCCTTGGCTGAAAAAGCTCCAACTATCATTGATTCAAGGCAGAGCTCCAAAGTAGGTTCTTCCAGCCTCCAAGGTCCTGAGCCTGTACCCTCATGAGACAGAAACAGTCACTCAATCCCATTAAGTCAAAGAGGAAGATGAACAAACACCAGAGACCAAGGGCTGTGGGTACCGCATCACTTTATTTCTTGGGTTTTCCAACTTTAACCTTGGACAATGCAAATTCGGTACCCTATCTTCCTGGCCATAAGTAGTCCTTCACTGAAAACGTGGCTTGGGATTTGAGAGGAGTCTCAACAGAAAAGCAGGGTACCCAGGGCCCGCCAGCTAGCAGAGGCCCATGGGGGTTCCCTGGCAATGATCAGACCTTCCTTTCACCCCTGTTCCTCCAGGGGACAGGCTGGCCCCTCAGTAACCTCAAGTATCCTCGCGCCTTCCCTTGGAGGCCATCTCTGGCACTTTCTATGCATCCCTGCTGCCACTCAAGCTGAGTCTGGCACCTTCTGCATTGGGGACACAAGGCAGAAGCCACGGATGGAATCCACATTCAGTTCTCCAGTTCCTTTGGGAAAAGGGGGTGCCTCCCCCCAGAGACACTGAAGACATGTCTGCCCTATAAGACAGATAATCACACTTTATGCCTCTCTTTCCCAAGAAAAGCGGAAAGCCTCTTTCACTTGCCAAACTCCATACCCCACACAAATACACAGCTTCCAGCACCAGCGAGGGGGCCCAGTCAACCCACTTAAATCAAAACAAAAACTAAAACTCAACAATAAAATGTGACCAGCCAACAACCAAAGAGAACATCTGTGCTGCTGTAGCTTTCAACAGAAGACCAGATGGCTGGTTTCTGGCTCTCTCCACCCGGGAGCCAGGAAATAACACAAATATGCCCTTGCAATCAGTGTAGACACTGTGGGAACCAGAGCAGAGGGCATTTTGGCCACGCCAGGGGACAAGGCAGTTCCCTATCGCTTTTGCAACTGATCCCCTTCCTCTCTGCCCCTTGGGCATCTCCATGTCAGCCGTCCACCAGGGTGAGGCCTTCATAGAGCGCACGCTTCCACATGTAGTAGGTGGAGCGAGCGGTGAGCGGGAAGAGGGCACTGAACTCCTTGTAGGAGGGGAAGCTCTTGGACTGGAAGCGTTTCTGCAGGAACAGCTTGGCCTGGGCCTTGAACTTTGTGTTGGTGAGCATGTCCATCATCAACACCTGGCCATCCCTGTCACCTGCAGCTGCCACTACAGGATGGCTTGATAGAGCCCCACTGTGGGGCTGACCCTCGGCTGCAGCCCCCTCTGGCAGGGCCTTCTCTCTAGAAGGACCTCCCTGGGTCTTTGTAGAATCATTTCCTAGAGAAGTCCCCACTGGTAAGGTCCCTACAGGTGGGATCATCACAGTTGTCCCGTTCCTGCCAGCCTCTTTCTCCTGGGCCTCCTGCTCCTGTTTGCCAAAGGAGGAGGACAGCCTCCGGAGTTTGGACAGGCCTCTGGGCCAGCCCCAGGCACGGCTCTTCCAGGCCCAAAAAGTGGAGGGTGACAGACTAGGGTAGCGGAGGCGGAAGCGACAGAAGGGCAGATGCCCACTCAGCACCTGCTTGCGGGCGGCCCTGCGTAGGCGCCTCTGCCAACGGGAGAGAGGCACCCTCCGTGGCAGGAGCTCCGGGGGTGTGGGGAGCCCACCACCTGTGGCTTCCTCTGCCTGCTCTTCTACCTCGCCCTTCAAAGGGAGCAGGACCACTCCCCCCACAGATGCTGGCTGGGGAGCAGCTGCAAGAGCGGGAGGTGGCTTGAAGCTGGGGTTCCTCCGGAGGGCCTTTCGCCGCCAATTGTAGTAGGTAGACCTTGAGATGCCAGGGAACCTGCGTTTGAAGCAGCGGTAGGGCACCAGTGTGTTCAGGGAGATGCAATGCTCCAGGTATAACTTGGCCCGTTGCATCAAGACCATTCCAGGGTTTGTGGGCGCCAGTGGGGCGTGGCCCAGCCCCTCTGCAGCCTTCTCTCCTGGCAGCTTCTCCAGCTCTATGGCCGCTGCCTCCTTGGGGGCTGGGGCTGGGCAGGCAGCGGAGCCCAGCAGCTCATGCTTCCAGGCATAGTAGGTGGAGCGAGAGATCTCGGGGAACCTCTGGAGGAACTGCTGCAGTGGCACAACGCCCCCTCGGTGGAAGCTGTCCTGCAGGAAGTGCTTGGCCGAGAAGCGGGCGGCCACCTTCTGCCGGTGCTCCTGGGACTGCCGCCGCCAGCGGTAGAAGGTGCTCTTGGTGACGCTGTAGCGCTCACAGAGGTGGGAGTAGCTGAGGCCAGGTTCCCGGTTGAGCAGCTCCAGGGTCTTAGCTGGTGGAGGCAGCGATACAAGGGCTGGAGGAGTGGGGGGCAGGCTGGGGGCATCATCAGCCTCCACCTCCTCCAGCCCCACCACGGGGGCGAAGTACTGGTGGCGGAAGAGGTGGCTGGTGAGGGGCTGGCCTGCCCACATGATGTGCAGCGTGGAGGGCATGTGGTCACAGCGCCGGGGCCGTATGACACGGTTAAAGTAGGGTCGGATCTTGAGGTTGCGCATGGGGTAGATGGAGTAGATGTTGCGCTGCAGGACAGAGGCCAGGGCGTACAGGTGCCACACGTTGGAGAAGCTGCTGGGGAAGCAGGTAGCCTTGACATCCGCATCGAAGATGGCCTCCAGTGTGGCCGACGGCAGGTTGGTCATCTCAGGGGACTCTTCAGAGCACAGGGAGTAGCGCACGGCCTGCAGCATCACCTTAGAGTCAATCATGCCCTGGAGGTAATAGTGTCTGTGCAGCAGCATCTCCACCACGGTGCGCGCCCGCAGCTCCAGGCTGAGGCCTGGGTCGCCCCACAATAGCAGGCTGGCTGCCTCAAACAGCAGGCTGCCCCCGCCCTGGCACACCAGCGGCAGCATGTTGCGAGGAGCATCCTCGGGATACAGGCTCAAGGCCACAGAGTCCACCTCCAGCACCTGGACCCCAGGACTCCCCTTGCGGCAGGTGGGGAGGGCGAAGGAGGACAGGACCTGCTTGGCCTCCAGCGCAGCACTAACAAGACCCTCCAGGCCCTCGGACTCCACTGCCTCCTGCAGCTCCCTCAGCACCTGCTCCACCAGCTGGTCCCGAGAAGTCATCCTGTAAGGCAAAGGACACAGCAGAGGTGAGGACAAGGTGCCTGCATGCATAGAGCACCACCAGGATGGTGCTCTAAGCAAGCATTCCAGCACCTTCTCTCTACAGACAACATCCAGCTGCGCCCTTTCCCCATAGCAGATGGCAGCTAACGGCCTCTTGGGTTTGTTTAGTCACTCAGTGGAACTAGGGAAAAGTGTAGTTTCTGGGACTCAGCTTGGCCACCTCGGGTAAGCCACTCAGCCTACTTCCATACTATCTTTTCCGTAAAATGGGGGTGATAATAATCTATTTTACGGAGTTGTTACATTCATAACTAAGTTACAGTAACAGATGGAGATATAGAAATATACACACACACGCATTCTTAGACATAAAAGTTGTACCTCTCTGAGCTTTATTAAAGACTTAAAATGGGAAGGCTAGGGTGTAGTGGCACACAGTAATCCTGGCACTCAGGAGGCTGAGGCAGAAGACGGCTGCAAATTCAACGCCATCCTGGGCTACATTGTGAGTACACGGCAAGACTCTCAAAAAAGAAAAAAGACAAGACAAAAACTGGGCATTGTGGCACACTTGTGTAATCCCAGTACTCTAGTATTCTGGGAGGCCGAGGTAAAGGATCACAAATTCAAGCCCAACCTGGGCAATTTAAGGACTTAATGAAACTGTCTCAATTTAATTTAAAAAAAAAATGGCTGGGGTGGTAGCTCAGTGCAAAAGCCCTGGGTTCAATCTCTACACTGCCAGGGATTTAGCTCAGTGGCACAAGCACCTTCCTGGCAAGTACAAGGTCATGAGTTTGGTCCTCAGTGCTCCCCCCCAAAATCCCTACTGCTACAGGGAAAAAAATTACAGTCATATAAGGCCAAAATTGGTCTCCCTCTCCCTAAAATACTGATTCTGAAAGTATTAAGGTATTCTGATAGCTTGCAAGTTAAACTATTTTCAAGTAGGAAGCTATTCTTTGTCCTTTTTTCCACTGTATTCTTGTGTGAATAAAACTGTGTTATCTTAGCATGATCAAGGCAATGACATCAAACTATGCTAGAAATATTATGTTCTTTACTACTATGCCCTTCAAACTGAAAAGAATTTAAGACTAGCTTCACTTAAGAATGTCCTCCAGTGAAGCAGTAAAGATAAGTTTTATTAAACCATGACCCTTAAAGGCCTATCTTTTCTTACTGGGAGTGACCAAATGGAGGGTGGTCCCGGAACACTTCTGCTGCATACTGAGTGTGAGGAACATCTCAGTTGCACCACTGAGCTTTGTAATGAATTAGTATAGTCATAGCATGGAATACCATTTTTGCTTTTTTGTGACAGGGTTTCACTGTGCAGTTCAGGCTGAATTCACTTTATAACCCAGGCTGGCCTCAAACTCACTGTGATTCTCCTGCCTCAGCTTCCCGAGTGCTGGCATTACAGGCATGTGTCACCATGTCTGGCTTCCTTTCCATTTTTAAAGACTGACAGATACTAGTCATATAGACTCAGATATGCTCAGCAGACATTATCTCACAAATGAATGAAGTGGCTATCATGGCTTGCCTCCCGATAGCCCACCCCACCTTCTCCAGAGTGTTCTTTCATCTTTTACTTGGCCCAAACTTGATCTGCAAGCTCACTTCACTTTTTTCAAATAAAACTTTGCCACTGATTTTCGGGGGGTGGGGGGGGACAAAACAATAAGGTAAGCTTCCCACTTCAGTGAAAGATTCTGAACCTTGCTTTGAAAATTTGAATTGTAAAGCCAGCACAGTGGTGCACACCAATAATCCTAGCTACTCAGGAGGTTGAGGCAGGAGGAGCACTTGAGGTCAGACACTCCCCCCCACACACACACACACAAATTCTTAGAAAATCTGCATCTACTACAATAAGCTTGGCAGTTCCCCACCTAGAGACTTTGCGGGGGGAGGTTCTGGGAATTGAGCTCAGGACCATGCACTTGCCAGGCAGGTGCTGTGCCAGCGAGCTAAGCAGCCAGCCCTCCTATAGACTATTCTAATGAGATCAGTGGTGATATTTATTAATGCTATTTTTATACTCTATCATGAAATTGTCAGTATTTCCATTAAAGAACTGTATCGTTCAATAAACGGTATTTTTCAAATAACCAAGGAGTGACATTGCAAAATTGTGTACTTTGGCCAGGTATGATGGTGCACACCTGTAAACCCAGTACTGGGGAGACTGAGGCAAGGGATTGCTGTGAGTCTGAGGCCAACCTGGGCTATATAGTGACTTCAAGGCCAGCCTGAACTCATAGTGAGACTCTGTCTCAAAAAGAAAACATCATTGTGAGTTCGATTCCCCGGCACCAAAAAAAAAGACAAGGAACAAAAACAAAACATCGTGCACTTCGTAAAAGATCTGTAGTATTGTACAGACTAACAAATTCTAACATGGCAAACTAAGTTCATAGAAATGCTTTCATATGCTGTGTTATAACTAAGTCTTAGCAAAACTACAGCTTCTCAGGTTTTGATGTGGTTATCAAAACAAAACAAAAAAAAAGCCATCAAAACACCCATTCTTCTTCCATCTACAAATGTGGGCAAAGTTGAATTTTCTTCATGTATTTCCACCAAAGTTATGCTAACAAAACAGATTGAGCAGAGATATTTGGGGGGAAATATAAAATAGTGAATTCCCACTACTTTTTTGCATTCTAAAAGTTATTTTTATAACAATGATGATTTGCTACTGTTTATTTTAATGTTTTAAAATTCTCTTGCTCTTTTTTGGGGGGACAGGTTGGAGGGGCTGAGAATCAAACTAGGACCTCATAATTGCCAGGCGAGCACTCTACTAAACATCTCTAGTCCATTTAAATTTTTTTCCCCTTCAATTTTACTTTTAAATAGAGAATGCACTGAGAGATACAACCTATAAACAGAAGCTCTTCAAGGTCTTCAGATTTTAAGAGCAAAAAGAGATTTTGAAACCAAAAATGTCCTGGAACAAAGACAATCTTTTCAAAAGGGCAGCAAAAGCCTATAACAACTAGGACTTAGTGACTGTGTACTATTTACGTGCGCGGTTCTAACCCTGACAGCCAGACCTGAAGATAGGCCCTACCACTATCTCTAATTCATAGGGGGAGAAACTGAGGCAATTGAGACAGCCTAATTTGTACAAAGCCCCCAAACTAGTAACTAAAAGCAAATGTTCCTTCAGCTGCCGGGCATTCATCTCCTCGGGTTTCAACCCTCAGCCTCTTTCAGCACAAACTAATCATCTAATTTCAATGTTCAGCTGCAAAGCAGAGTGGCATTCCTCTATTGGCACTGCTTTTATTTATTTCGTCTTTTTGAGACAGGGTCTTGCAATACAGTTCAGGCTGGCCTTGAATTCACTTTGTAGCTCAGACTGGTCTCGCTAGAATTCACAACGATCCTCCTGCCTCAGCCCCCTGAGTGCTGGGGTTACAGGTGTGCACCACCACACCTGGCTGGACTGCTTTTAAATTAGAAAGATTATCCTTTCTGGTTTCTTAGGTCTTTGTACGCAGAGTTCAATACAGATATGGAACAGCCTGCTGGTTGAGGGCTGTTCCAACTTATGATGCAGGAGGGTGCACAGCAGTGCGGCCTGTGGGTGGTTTCTACAGTACAGCAATTGTTGCTGATTGTGCTGTCAGCACAGGGCTGTAGTTTTATGTCTGTTAGGCATTACAGTACTGCTTTTAAGAGTTATGCAAATAAAATCAGAGTCATCAAGTTGGAGTTTCTTTTGGCCATTGCTTCATTCTGAGTAGTGTATATACCATATACAATTCCTCATTTAGCAACCAATTAATTAACAGCCTAACCCGAGTTTGGTGGTGCACACCTGTAATCCCCGCATCAGGAGACTAAGGGCAGAAGACCATTGCAATTTCAAGAGAGGTCTGTGCTGCAAAGTGAGACCAAAGCTAACCTGAACTGCAGATCAAGACCCGATCTCAAAACAAGACAAAAACAAAAAAACAAAAACAGCCTACTGGAAGGCACATCATTCAACCATTAAATGAGGAATGCCTGTACATTTCTTTAGATTAGCCTTAGGACCTTAGGTGTAAACATTGTATTTAGGTGTGTACATTTTTCAGCTCATTGGCTGTATACTAAAAGGGCCGTGTTTGGGCTGGGCATGGTAGCATGGGCCCATAATCCCAGCACTCAAGGCGCTAAAGCAGAAGGATCACAAGATTAAAGCCAGGCTAGGCTAAGCTAAACAACTAGCCCCTGTCTCAAAAGTCCAAAAGACAAGAGCACTTGGGCGGGGGGATAGAGCTCAGTGGCACAGTTCCTGCCTGGCAAGCACAGGGTCTAGAGTTGGATTCCTGGTACCCCCTCCCCCGAAAAAAGATAGGAGCACTTGCCTAATGTACATAGACAGCACTGGGTTCAAGTCCCAACAGCCCTTTCACATTTTTTGACTGGGTACTGTGAGTTAGTAAAATTGGGGAAAAAAAAAAAAAAAAAAAACCTGAAAGCAGCAAGGAAATACTTATCAGAATTACACTTGGTAATCATAAAGGCAAGCTCTATTTTTTTGGAGACAGGGTCTTGCTATCTAGTTCAGTCTGGCTTTGAACTTGAGGCAATCTTCCTGTCCCTGCCTTCCAAGTGCTGAGATTCCAGGCATTGCTATAACACTGGAAATCAGAATCAACCTTGGGTAAAATTTCTCTCCTACAGGTTTCCTTAAAAATATGTCTGTTATAACAACAGATCCAGGTGGGCCAGGTGATACCTGCCTGTCCCAACACTTGGGAGGCTGTAGCAGGAGGATCGTTGCAAGTTCATGACCAGTCTGGGCTACATAGACTCTCTCAGAAAAACAAAACAAAAAAAAACACCAAAACCAAACAAATCTGGTATAACCTTTCACCAAATTGTCCTTGTACTACATTATCTAGCCTTGATTCGGGTTATTCTGTTCATTTTTTTGCACTTTACTTTTTAAGAAACTTGCCTCACCAAGCGTGATGGCACACATCTGTAATCGCAGCCCTCAGGAGAGGCTGAGGCAGGAAGATAGCCACTTGACTACAAAGTGAGTTCAAGGCCAACCTGAACTGCACCAAAAAAACAACCTTATTACTGTTCTTTGGACTCAGGAGATAAGCTTTTTAAATCAGTCGTTAGGAAAGAGAACCCTCTACATATGCAATAAGAAAATTAAACCTTGAGGAATAAACTTCTCACAAAATGTTTTTTCCTTCTGACAGTCATCCCAACAAACAGGGTGGTATTTTTTTTCTTACACGACGTCACTTGTTAAACACTGTTATATAGTGACATATAAATGTGTGCCGTCAGAAACCCCAAAAAATAAAATTAGGAAAACAACTACCATTTACTGATTGCTCACTGTAACACTTAACTCCGATAATTCAATCGAAATCTCAGGGAAAAAAACCAGGAGGGAGCAGCAGATTCAAATTATGTAGGCAAAGATTCTTCCACTCAACGGAGTCTATTTTCTTGCTCCCTCGGGTAATTAAAAATGTCTGTGACCTTCCGTGGGGGTGAGCATTTGCATTTCAGGGGTAATTTTGTTTCTATGTGGCTTCCCTTTCCCTCCATGTGAACTGCATCACACCTGCCCCAATCCCTCGCATCATGACCTACTTCACACCTGTAGAAAGGGAGGTTCAGGAGTTACCCAGCTATTAAAAGCTACAAAACCAAGTGTCATGGCAGTGCACACCTGTAATTCCAGCACTCTGGAGAGACTGAAGTAGGAGGATCACAAATTCAGGCCCAGCCTGGGCAACTTAGCAAAGACCTATTTCCAAATTAAAAACGGCCTGAGACTGTGCTCAATGTAGAAGGCCTGGTTCAATTCCCAGTACCTCCATCACCAAAAAAACAGAACAAAACCCTAGCAATCTGCCCCCAATCTCCTCTCCTAAGCAGTGTAATTCCATTGCCCTAAAATCCCCTCATCCAGGATTCTGCGCACTGAAAAGGAACCGAGTCGTTTTATAGAGAGGGAAACTGAGGCCCAAGAAGGTAGGATGAACTTGCCTGTATGGATGCTGCGGTTTCAAGTGTACTCGGCTCAACGTCCAGTTACACCACACTTCCTGCGGCACAAGCCCCGCCTCTCCCCACCCTAACCTCCTAGGCCTCCTCTAACGTCGACCTGGGCTCCACCCTGTCCCATTCCTTCCTCTTCCCTGCAGAGGCCAGAGAGGTGTGAGTAGGAAAATGCCCCACTTCTGGCTTCCTCAAAACTGCTGAGAAAAAGCAGCTTCCCAGAGAGCCTACACCCACTGCCGAGCCACGAAGCTCGACCACTAGAACCAGGGCAGCGAGGCGCACGGGAGGCTGCACGGGAAGCCTCTGGCCCTTAAGTAGACAATTGCTGATGGGGCTCAGGTGCAGTTCTCTGGAGCATGGCTCTTCCTGGAGGTGCGATGCAAAGCGTACGGGACTGCTGCCAGCTGCACGCAGGGAATGCAGGGCAGACAGTGAGGCTGATCTGCGGACTTTGCATGCTGGCCTCACACACACCTCTTGGACAGGATCTGGAAAGGCAGGACACCCCAAGCAACCCCCTCCAATTACACAGGCTCCCTGCTCCTCTCCCCCACACTTGAAGTTGAAGGGGAGAGAAGTCAAGGCACCCAGAAAGGATCGAGCCAGCATCTTAGCACCTGGGCAGGACTCTGGAGACCCCGAACGGAAGACTGGGCAAGGGCAACACGGCAGGCTTTCACAAGGCCTCACCACCTTCACAAGGCCACGTCCCTGCCCCTGTCTCCCCACTGCAAGCAGATGGCAGTCTTGAAGCCCCAGTCTGGTCTCAGTCCCCAGCATTTTAGCCACGGATCTGAGTAGCACAAAGAACACAGCGGCCAAGAGGCAAGCTGACATGAAGCTCCCAGCTCTGCCCTGGCCTCTAGGACTTCCTTCCCCAGGAGCCGCACCTTGGGTTCCCAAGTTCTCCTGGCCCCTCTTTTCTCTCCCTGCAGTCTCCGCACTCCACCACACCCAACAAGCCCGAGAGCCACACGGGTCTCAGGCCCCAGTGAGGCTACCGGCTTGGATTCTCCCTGGGTGCTGGCTCCTCACCCAGCCTGGCTCTGCTGCACGCCCCAGGGACGGAGGGCCTGCCAGCCATCTTGGTTCTCTCTCCTGTGGCCTGGAGGCCCAGCCGGGCAAGGGCAGCCACTGGGACTGACTGGTAGAATCAGCCAGATGTGACTTCCCAGGGAAAGTCCCACCGCCACCCAGGGTGGCGGGAGTGCCTGGGGTCACCAGGGTAGACCTGAGGCCACCAGGTCAAGCGATCCTCAGGAGTTCCCAAGTTCAGTTGCTCTTCTGGGCCACGTGTCTGGAAGTGAGGGAGAGGACGGAGGGCTGCCCACAAGGGGAAGCCCCACAGGCCACCACCCAGATGGCAAAAGACAGGGCTGGCTGGCCTCTGGCTACTGGAACATAGGACCCAACCAGGGAAGTTCCAGCAGTCTGGGGAGGGGCCGAGGCCTGACCACTGTAGGGGTGGGGAGAGGAGATAGGAGGGTGGGGGTGGGGAGAAAGAGACCTTGGAACAAAGCCTCTTCTCCGCGGTTCCGGCAAGGAACACACACAGCATCCTCAGGGGGCCACTCCTAGACCTGGCCCTTTGGGTGTCTCGAGATCATCCCCCACTGCCTTAGGCCTCCAAACCCTACCAGGCACTCACCCTTTCTAGTCGTGAGAAAACGTTTTTACTGACCTCGAGGGTGGCCCAGAGCCCTGGGGGGCGTCCACTTCTCTCTCCACCTTCCAGCCTGGAACATTTACGCCAGCCTGCGGGGCAGGGCCTTCCCAGGGAGCCTCCCCAGAGGAGCGACTTTCACCCCAGCGCCCGTCTCATATCTGGAGTGGACCATCGAGCGTGGACCGTCTACAGCCAACTGGCCAGTGGGGAAGCGGCTAAGCCACTCCCCCCAGGAAATCGCCCACCCTCCAGGGTTCTGGTCCCGAGATGAAAGAAGTGCAAATTCGGGGGTCACTTCCAATGGTAAAGTGATAGCAGCTATTGTCTTCGCCATTCTCCCCAGCTGAGAGTGTTAAAGTGCCCTGACCCAGCTCTGAAACAGACCCCAAACTGCCAGGGAAAACTTGAAAGAAAGTTGAAAGATTTCCAAACAGTTTGGGGGAGGGGAGAGAAGGGACGGTTTTAGATGGGAAGACCTAAGGGGAAAGTATGTGGCCAGGTTTGGGGAGGGGAGAAGATAAAAAAGCTGAAGCCCAGAAACTGGCCAGAGATGATGGGTTAGAGAAAGAATACAGCTCACCGTTTTCTTTTTCCAGGACTGGGGATAAACCCAGGGCCTCCCCATGGAGCTACATCTCCAACTCTTTTTAAATTATTTTTTATTTTGAAAGAGTCTCACTGGATCATTAAATTGGCCAGGGTAGGCTTAAACTTGCGATCCTCCTGCCTCAGCCTCCTGGAATGCTGAAATTACTGATATGTGCCCCTATACCCATCTCTTTGGGGTTCTTTGAAACCCTAAAATACATCTCTGCCTGAATCAGCCCTCCTAAGCCCTCTCCCTACAAGACAGGGAGAACTAGGCAAGCAGAAGAGTGACTTTCTGCCTCCCTTCAAATTGTTGCAGGCCCAGTTTCTCTAAGGCTGTGTCCCCACTGAGCATCCCTCAGGCTTGGGGTTCGGTATCTCCAGTTCCCAAAGTGTGCCTGGCTCCAAAGAGCACCTATACACGGCCAGGGGCCTATCCCAGGGCATCTAATCCCTAGCCCCAGAGAGAAGAGGGCGGGGCTTCAATCCTACCGGTCCCCCTGTGTCCCCCACTCCGCCCACACACACACACACAAACTCACCTGGGGCCCAGGGCTTCAAATAATCCCCAAAGCAACCAATCCCATCTGCCTGTCTGGTCCAGGGCAGTGGGGGAGGTGAAGGGCCAAGGCAGCCTTTGGTGGCAGCTTGTCTCCTGGGCTTTCCTGCCTGGTTAACCCTTTGGGTGCAGATTCTCTCCAGAGCGCCCAGTTCCCCCACCATCCCTCTGCTTGGCCCTGCCCCTGGTGACCACTGTAAAGTGCCCCCCCACCCAGTATGCCCCAAATGGCCTCTTATCATTTTCTCCGCCCCCAATCAGGATCTCTACCCTTATCACAAAACTCAAAACTCCCCGCTCAAGCACCCATTCCCAGTCACCGACTGAGGGGCTGCGGGAGCTCAAGCCGGCCCTGGCCTCCCAGTCACTCCAGCCCCACCCACCGCGGTGGCAGTGGCCCTGAGGCTGTGATGGTTTAGCTGGGCCTCTTGGACTTGGCGTTGAATGCTGGCCCAGCCTGTCAGTTACCATGGCAAGGCTTTAGGCAACTTGTTAGCCGTGGAGTCCTGACTTTGTGGTTACCAGAACATAACATCTACCCCAGCTGGGAGTGGTGGCACATGCCTGTAATCCCAACGCTGAGGAGGCCGAGGCCAGCCTGCACTACAAAGCTGAGATCCTCTCTCAAGAAACAAAAGCAGGGCCCGGGGTGAGCTCAGTGGTACAGTGCCAGGCAAGCGCAAGGTCTTGAGTTTGATTCCTGGTTAAAAAAAATCTAAGGGACTGGGGATTTAGCTCGGCAGCATAAGCGCCTGCCTTGCAAGCAGGCAGTCGTGAGTTTGATCCCCAGTACCAATAAAAAGGAAAAAGACAAAAAAAAAAAAAAAAAAAAAAAATCTAGAGAGTGAGTCCGTTCCTTCAGTGAGATGATATATGTAGAGCAAGAGCACCGTGTAAAGGTGAATGTGTAACAGTTCTCAGCCTCTAGTCAATGTAAATTATTTTTAAACTTTTAATATAACTATACAATATTTTTAAAGTTTCAGAAAATAGTAGTTATCACACAAAAGGAGATGAAGTCACAAGAGACTTTTCTCCTGCTGATGTGGTACTCTGTAATCCCAGTACTCTGAGGGGCAAATTTGAGCCCAGCCCAGGCAAATTAGCAAAACTCCATCTCAAAGAATGTTTTTAAAAAGCTCTGAGGATGTAGTTCAGTGCAAAGACCCTGAGTTCAATCCCCACTGGTAATAATAGTAATTATTATATTATTATTATTAACATTATTATTATAATTTTTAAAAGAGTCTGAAAGCCAGGCATGATGATGCATACCTGTAATCCCAGTACTCAGGAGGCAGAGGCAGGAGGATCATCAAGAGTTTAAAGTCAGCCTGAGCTACATAAGACCCTGTCTCAAAATAAAAAGAGTGAGAGAGACTTTCCCACTTTCTGTGTTTGACATTTTATGAAAAGGCTATATTTCTTGCTATCATTTAAAAAAGGAATAAAGATAATTCTTTTTTTTTTTTTTTGTCTTTTTCCTTTTTATCAGTACCAGGGATTGAACTCATGATTGCCTGCTTGCAAGGCAAGCACTTATGCCGCTGAGCTAAATCACCAGCCCCAGGAATGAAGCTAATTCTTTAAAAGGCTAATGAAATCTTTAAAAGTCTTTGAACAAATAGAAAATATAATGAAAAGAAGGCATTTTTTGGTTTTTCCATTACAAAAGTAAGAGTGTTATTTATAGAGTTTGGAAAAATTTGAAAGAAAAGTGGAAAAAATCACCTATAATTTCATTATCTAAAGAGAACATTATATATTGTGAACATTTTGGTATATTTTGTTCTAGTTTTTTTTTTTTTCCTTAAAAAAAAATTAGAGCTTTATACAAGTTAGCCCTTATTCAACTTAGGGCTGAGGATTTAGCTCAGTGGCACAGCACCTGGCTGGCAAGCACAAGGTCCTGAGTTCGAGTCCCAATACAAAAAAAATAGAATTATACAAGTTAGATATTCTCTTTACAGAAGAGTCAGAAGATACACAGTGAAAAACAGAGAATAAATTAACCAGCTTGCTCTTGTCCCCAAAGTGTTCCCTGCTTCATCGCTGTCTACAGGTTCTTATGTGTTTATCTTTTCCTTTCTCACTGTATTTCAGATTGAGCCCAAGCAGGGCCTTTGCACTGAGCTACCTCCCATGAAACCCCCCACCCTGACCTTTTTCTTTCTTCTACTTTTTTTTTTTAAGACAGGATCTTACTATGGCCCGGGGTGGCCACAGATCCTCCTGACTCAGCCTCCCTCAGATTTCTCTGATTTACCAGCCTGCATCACCACTAACAGCTGTGTTTTCATCTTTTTGAGTGCATATGCACATGTATATAATTCTCTAGTGGCTCTCTGGACATTCTCATTCTATTAAATATTTTTAAATCATGGTTGGATAAATAATATGTAATACGTAAATAACATAATTGAATAATGCCCAAAATGCTTAGAAACTTGAGCTCAAAAATTTACAAAAGAATTTAGAATTGA